AGGGAGCAGTGTGACATGTTGAGCTATGGATGACGCCCCNATTGTCCGAACGAGGCTACATAAGGAGCAGCGAAGGCTATTCACAGTTAGTCCTCGAGCTACCTCCGAGTTAGTTCCGAGTAAGCCAGCAACCAGTCAGTTGTATTCTGGCATTTGCAGTGTAGTATTTATGATACTGCAGATAGCAGTAATTGTCAGTTTGGAATTTGGGTGATTGTAAGTGCGAATGTGAAATAAAATTCGCTATATCAAATACGGCGTGAAGTTATTTGTTGCGTGTACACCCAACACCAGACAACAGTGGTGCCTATTACGTGGCCGTCTTCTGTATTGTCCGAACGAGGCTACATAAGGAGCAGCGAAGGCTATTCACAGTTAGTCCTCGAGCTACCTCCGAGTTAGTTCCGAGCAAGCCTACGAGTGAAAGTGTGTTATCAACAGTCCTCAAGGCAGCAGCCTGCAAGCAGAGTTGGAATCTAGCCAGCGGCGTGTTACGAGTGAAAGTGTGTAATTCAGGGAGACTTGTATAGCTCCCGCGTTATTAATACGTGAAGACTAATGAAGATAGTGTGAAGAGATTTGGTTGTAGGGTTTGTAAAGTGTGAAACCCCGCAACTGTGTTATAATTAATTGTAGCCGTTACTTGTAGGTTGTTGAATAAACCAATTAACAATCCGTACGGGGTCTTCAGTAACGAAACACGTGACAGTATTAACAGAGGATTTGGGTTTGAACTGTGTACGAAGGAGTTGTGGTGTGCTGTTCTTCTTCCCCTTCGTTGCCGTAATATGTGCAGTCGTTCTTGTGTGTTGTTCAAGCTGAAATTTCTTTTCACATTTTACTTCCTTTGCGCACACTTGACAGTACACAACGACACCGTCTGTTGAATAGTCACTATTACCCGACACCCACCGAATTTTTAAATATCTACTGCTGCACTTTTCTTTAGTCATTTTCAGTACACGAACACTTTTTTGGTGCAGACTATTAAAGTAAAGAGCAACACATTAACTGAAGAGACTTCTATTAAGAGCAACCCTCTGATGCTACTGTCTGCTGTGGTGGTCAAAGAAATGCAGGAAAATCCCACCCCCTCCCTTTCGAAATAACCAAGCTACCTGCTTGTATTGTAAGTGGTAAAAGTGCCGTTACTCAGAGAGTGGAGAATAGAAACTGGCAAGGCAAAACAGGCAAAACCAATTTTGTTAGAGAACATTGAAATTATCCTTAATTCTAAACATATATGCAGTAATATGCTCTTATGTTTAGAATATGCAATAACAACCAAAAACACTCAAAATATGCATTTTCAAAAAGTCCGGGCCCTAGTAATCACATACTTGGTCACATGTACGTGTATTCAAGTCACTGAGAAATAAGTGACAAAAACACAGAATTATGAAATATAATTACATTATTTTAAATATTTATTTGAGAATATAGTGATAACGTTTACACACACAGGTACAATAACATTGGATGCAGCACCATGCAAACGTTTACTTAAGGGTTATGGGAACTTGGAATTTTAAATTTATGTCATGTTTGTTGCTGATGGATGTAACAAGGTTTGTATCAGATTAACATTACTAGAAAATAACAGCAGCACAATACAATGGTAAAATTTGATGACTTAACTATTATTTTACTTGAGTATCTTTTAAACAAAAATTGTCCTCTTAATTTCAAAGTATGCCATTATCCTTTTAAAAAGTACAATGGCGCATTTTCAGGGCAATTTTTATCTCAGAAAAAATCAATCAATTAACAACAATAATAATAATAATTTGTTCTTCTTATTAATGTCTTACAAATTCACATGATCACCACAATACTGGTGGGATTTATATATATAAACTAATACTCAATTATATGGAGTTTCAAGTAAAATATATTTTTAAGCTGAAACAAAATTATCTATACTAAAGTTCTAGTTTTATAAAATGAACCAGTTATTCTGAATGGTCAGACATTTGTAATATACATATAATTTATAAAATTGTAAGAAATTTTAGGAAGCAAAATTTATGATGTATTTCTCCAGATGTATATTGTACACTGAAATCAAACTGCAAATGTTTTCTTTGGTAGGATCAGTTATGCTGTTACATATAAATTCAACATAATTATGTGCAGTTACTAATTAACAAACCTTCAATTCTGACCATGGATAATTTTGGTCAGAGTCAAGAAACTGGCCAAATCTTCGCTATGAAAATGGTCTCCAACAGCATTTTTTTTTTTAAATTTGATGATATTTACTATAATGAGGTTTGAAGCTAGCTATCATAACAATCCATACTTTCTCTCTGATTATGTTAACCCACTGAATAGTTAAGCAGTTTTATAAATATAAGTGTAAAATATTTCCCTTTTATTTAATTGTCATTTATAGGATTTTAAAGTTCTTTTAGAACTTTTAAATGTTATCCCCAAGGCAATTTAAAAGCAATTTAAGCACACATGTAAAAATAAATACACATACATAATATATCTTGTAATCATCCATTATTCCCTTGGCGGCCTAAAGTTTAGTTGTTTAAAAAATTCTTCTGGTAGTACAGAAACATGTCATACAACATGGGCAAATTTCAAAAGTGCTGTAAGGCTTTGACTGTGAAGCACTGCCATAGAACAACGTGCTAGAAACAGCAAAGGCTGCATAGGAGTAAATGCCATTCCACACAAAAACCCTCCTCTTCCCTATGGCCATGTCAAAGCATGTGTGTGGAACCAATCTAATTAGCACATGGCATGCACAAGATTAAGGCATAAAATACCGTCTAGTTTCGTTGTTATTAATTAAAGGGAACTGAAGAGTTGTAAGTTTCATCCACTTTTAGAAAATGACCCTAGGATATTCTAGCTCTAAGCATATGACAGACAGTTAATACCCGTGCTTATGATGCACTGAACAAAATGTTACAACAACCTTGCTCAGGAAAATATTCACGTTTTTTCTCACCCTTTCTCTCTTTATCTCTTTGCAAACTTAAATGAAAGTTACTTCAGCAGAAGTAGCATGACTGTATGACAGAATTTGATCTAGTGTCTGTGATATGTGTGTGTGTGTGTGTGTGTGTGTGTGTGTGTGTGTGTGTGCGCACGTTTGCGGGCATGTGCACATACCAAATTAATTTTTCTTCATTTTGTTATGAAGCCCATTGTAAAATGGCTTACACTTAAATTGTAATTTACATTAACACTGTTTGCAGATGTTTCGTCAATCTCTTCATATGGAAGATAATGATGTAAATAGTTATGGAGCATTGTATGTAATTAATTTAATAGCGCAGTTACAAGTAGTAAACAATCAAATACATTTATTTGCGTTGATTTTTGACAGATGACTCAGCAGAAACTTATCTTAATAAAAACCGTGTGATGTTAAATATATCTGATATTAATAGTTTCATTTTATAAATTTTTTGATATGCAGATTTTGTTTAAATGCTGTACCCACCTTCAGTTTGCTAGAAAGCATTGTGTTCTAAACTTGAATGGTCTTCTGTTCTTTCTTTTCTGAAGACAAAGAATTATCTCTTGTATTTTGGAAAAAACAGAGAAATTTCAATTCTTTTGACACTACCTGCATCTACAACTCAGTAGAGGGTTAGAACATGATAACTATGTGGTAACTCCATTCTCATAACAAAATTATGTATTGCAAGTAGTAGGGACTTTTGCCAAAACAATGGTCAATCAGAATTCTAGAAGGTCAAGATAGCATTTTCTAAGGACTAGTATGCAAAAATTTCCAAAATATCAAACAACTTAGCTATCTGAAATTCTGACTTGTGGAAGAAATACAAAGTGCAGTTTTGGTACACTATTTATCCTTCAGTTTAACTGTGTTCTTATGTCACTTATAGTTCTGTATGTTTCAACAAACTTAAATATACATACAAGGTGCAGTAATGCTTTGGAGCTTGTCATAAGTATCACATTGACAATAGATGGCAGCAGAGTACATATATCAAAGTGATATTAAATATGACCCTGGTTACATATACATTTACGTTAAAACTTATTACAGTCTGAAGAAAATAATTAATTTAATCACTGGTTTGATCACTTTCAAAAGAATGTTAGCTGAAGCAGAATAAAATTTATCACTCATGCTGGAAATTGAAGCTGCAACCTCTACCATGCTGTTTACTACTATCTGTCCCAATCACAATTTAAGGATGACAAAGAACATGATATTCCATATTAACAGCAACATTCAAATTGTCTGCCAGAAGAGTTTCCTAAAAGTGGCAGTTCTGTACTCAGTCAAAATAAACGTGTAAAATGAAAACAAAGAGTGTTTTCTATTAAAAACTGCAAAAACAAAAAATGAACTCCGTGGCCTGTAGTCCGTAAGCGAACTATACCGACCGAGCGACCGCTGCTTGTCGGCGAAGTTAGTGCCAACTTTTGCAGATAGATGGTGTCATGTGGTCAGTGCACTGGATCCCCACAGCTGTTAATCTCGGTTTTCTACACTGAAGCCGCTATTTCCTTGAAATAACTCTTCAACCCTGAAAAATCACATTTTATTAAATACTGGTCTCTATTTATTTTATTTATATTTTATATGTAAAGTACTTGTCTATTCATACAATTCACTCATTACAAGTTTTCCAAATATATAGTTACAATTTTATTCAATTCACCGATTTATTTATAAATGAGAGTCTCTGTGTCAGAAGTTCTAATCCATGGGAATCACGTTAGAGCACCAGTTTATGGCCACAGATTAGAGGATAACTGTACTAAAAATAAAACTTAATGTCTTCTTATACANCGATTCTGATCGCTTCTGTCTTCTGACAGTGAATTGTTTTGGCATTGCTTCTTATCAGTTTTGTCATCTGGGAGTACATGTTCAGCATACACCTCAGTGAAACATCATATAATGGACCCAAATTCTTGTGGAATGTTTACTTTTTGTATGAAATTTATGTGACTACTATAAAATAGTGAATTATAAAAACTAAAAAAGTTTCAAATTCTAGTTAAAATGCAGTATATATTGTTTAATGCTGGAAGTGACACTGAGCTATGTAATGCTGTTGCATGTTACTGGCTGTAAGCAGAGTGTATTGAATTCTGATTTATTTGGATGGAAAGTCTGTACACAAAAGTAAAAGATTTGTTTTGAGACTGTCTTGAGAAGCATCTGATTTCTGATAGGCATTCATATAATGTTTTATACAGTATTTTAGTTGATGAAGTGTTAGATCATGATTGAAATTCTGTAATTTTCAACACTACTGTAATATTAAGCAGTGGATATTCATTTGTATATCATTGTTACGCATTGGTATTAATACATTTGTGTCTCTGCTCTTCAATCCAGATCATCACCTTATATCAATCATGACTAAGTACATACATATTGTGCAGAATAAGACTGAAGTAGTTGTGATGTAAAAAGCAGAAGAGTGATGGAAACCACACAAACTTCCAGATCACAGTTTCTCAGCCAGTCAGTAAATCAATCAAACTCCTTCCTCCATGGCAGTCGACCAAATATGTGGCCAGCTGTCAAATCACACTGAATGCTACATTAATTTTCGACCATCGGTTGTTTGTTAGTAATGAATATTTCATTAATGATTATAAATGTCAAAAATTAATGTTGTACTTTATAACGTGATAACAGTTACTTTGCAACTAATTATATCATAATGTAGTTCACATGGCTGTAGTATGCCATTCCGCCTCTTCTGCATTGACTTCCCCATTTTGTGAACCAACTTTGTCTGTATCTGGATTTGGTTGCCCAAGTTTCAGGAGCTCTGACTTGCTCAAGTGGTCCACAATGCCTGCTCCAATAGAGTCTCCCAGTACATTGATTGTGGTACGGAAACGATCTCTAGAAACAAAATATGACAAGACTCAGTTGAAAATCAAGGTGCCATGCAAACCATGGTGGAAATAACAGGCATATCATGAATGTAGCAGTGACAGTTGGAAAGCTCTTTCAACATGTAATTTTCCTGCTTCACTTCTCCTTCGTTTATGGCTTTTTAAATCCTTTTATGCAAGTAAAACTTAAGCTAACTGAGAACAGTGGGAATTTTTTGTTAAATATCAGAGGTCTTATATCAGATGAAAGAATTAAATTTTCGAATATGGTAAAAAGATATTTAATAATGTCATAAACTTCACGTTGAAGTACGAACAGAGGGACTTAAAATTGTACATTAGCAAAGAATAATGCAAACTAGTCATTCAGGGTATTTTTCAAAGTGTCTATAATCAATTGTTAGAATTGCCAAAAGCACAAATTGCTGTCAAATTAAAAAAAAAAAATTGTACCGGGATCTAAATGACTGATTAGCTCTTGAAACAATTATCTTTCATAATTGATGAGTGATGGTGAAATACATATTTCTTACTGAGTTACGGTGTTCTTCAATCAAATTGTCATAAAAATAAGAAGAAATGTTTCAGTAGTTCAAACCTTGATGTTATATGTTCTTAATGTGTTGATGTTTGCTTAATGTAGACAGTGTCAGAAAGTTTCACATGTTTTGACTACTCAACTCTTACTTAACTTTCAGCAAATCTCATGACACTTAGCTAAATTAAGCAGTGAAAATTCTGGAAGCCCTTGTCAGTATCAGTATCATTTTTCTAAGAGGGCTTTAAAATGAATGCATAGGTCTTATGACTGGATCAGTCCATGTCCCCAAAACCTTCATAGCCCAAATAAAGTGAAATAAATACATTACATTGAACAGTTTTTTATCAGAATACATTCATGAAATTTGCAAGATGGTTCTTGAGTTTGTGAAATATTGGTCTTCAACAGGTTGATGTACTTTATTTTTTCATGGTAAAAAGTAAGTAAAGGTATCTCTGTTAACAGGCCGTGGAGGCCCACAGGGTTTCGAGATGTCAAGGTTCCCACATTTCCAGACAATCGGCTCATAGATGGCGGCAAGGTTGTCAGCCCTATGCACCGGCCGCCTTTTACCCCCAAGAATATTCCTGGTACTCATTTCTGTTAGTGGCTGAGTCGACCCCAGGGGCACAGTGCGGCTGAAGGGATTAGGTCAACTGAAAAAATCCAATGACCTCATCGGGACTTGAACCCGCGACCTTCCGGCTTGTAGCGTAGTGCCTCAACCAACTACATTACCGCATGCCCCCATTTTTCTTCATGGTATTTTAATTATATTTCTTTAACTTCAAAAGTTATATGAGCATAGAGTTAAATGAGGAATAGCAGGATGAGTGAACTGCAGGTTGGGGAATATGTGAAAGGAAGCAGAGTACTAGCTTGAAATATCGCAATTAGGATGGTGAGTTTTCCACCCACCGTTTGTATACCAGATCTCCATAACATGAAGTAGGAATTCATAGCACTATTCTACAGTATTCAGTTCGGCTGCTTATGAAAGTTGCAACCTCGGGAGTGGACTCAAAGGTAGTGGTATGGATAAGGGAATTCCTTTTGGGCCATACGCAGAGAGTTAGAGTAGGAGGGCAGTTACCGGAGGAAGTCAGAGTAACGTCAGGAGTACCGCAAGGAAGTGCACTGGGTTCACTGCTGTTCCTTGCTTACTCTACACAGAGTTAGAGTAGGAGGGAAATTACCGGAGGAAGTCAGAGTAATGTCAGGAGTACCGCAAGGAAGGGCACTGGGTCCACTACTGTTCCTCGCGTATGTACACAGAGAGTTAAGAGTAGGAGGGCAATTACTGGAGGAAGTCAGAGTAACATCAGGAGTACCGCAAGGAAGGGCACTGGGTCCACTTCTGTTCCTCGAGTACATACACAGAGAGTTAGAGTAGGAGGGCAGTTACCGGAGGAAGTCAGAGTAACGTCAGGAGTACCACAACGAAGTGTACTGGGTACACTGCTGTTCCTCGCGTACTTAAATGATACTTGGAGAAATATTGAAGACTTTTCGCGGATGACTGTATAATATATAAGAAAATTATATAGTCATCCGCGAAAAGTCTAATGGCTGACTCAATATTTCTGGGGGAGTGGGCAGCTGAAAATGCGATGGTAATCAATCCAGCTAAAAGCAAGGCAGTTTGTTTCACGAGAGCCCGAGTGACGGACCCACTAAATTATTCATTACATGACATAGAATTCTGGAAGCGAGCAGTTGTAAATAATTTTGAATAATTTTACGCAGTGATTAAATTTGGGCTGATCAAATTAAGTACGCGGTGAAAACAGCTTGGAACCCACATTTTACAATGCGTATTCTTATAAAGGGAAATGGTAACACTAGCCTACACATCATTAATGCGTCCAATTCTTGAATATGGGGCAGCATGCTGGGATCCTTACAGGAAGTGACAGATAAATGTGCTAAACCAGGTGAAAGACATGGCTAAATTTGCACATCATAGAAATGATTCGAATTGGGAAACCTTGACAGAGCGCAGAAAGATAGCTCGCATATGTGCTCTCTTCAAAGCGAACGCGGGAGAACGGGCTTGGAATGCTGTCTGAGCAGGGTCGATCATGATAAGAATATTAGGAGCAGAAAGCAAAAGACAGATATTGGAAAATATTCCTTTGTAAATAGGACCATCCAGCTCTTGAACCATCTACCTGCAGATGTTTAGGGACTATCTCCTGTAAGTCAAGTAATTTTAGGAAAGTAACAAATAAAGCAAAGTGAAGGTATGGCCTTCCAAAACTCCAGTGAAGTGAAGTGAAGTAAATTGTGTTGAGGATGTGAAGGGCACATAAGTGTAGTGAAGTGGAATGAAGGGAAGGTGAAATGTGGATGCATCAGAATATGACATTACGTATTCCATTACTGTTATTGTTTAATGTATAGCATGCTTATTTTTTATTAATATTAATTATTTAATTGTAATTGAGGTTGTTTTTGTTGTATCTGTAAATCGTATTTGCATTCTATTCATTTTGGGTAGTGTGACCTTTATTGCTTGTGTAGTTTTATGTGATGTGTGTTATTTGTATGTTGTGTCTTACTGTGGTATCACCACCACCAGTTAAAAAACAATTTTCAATTTAAATAAAATAATAATAACAAGAACATGTATGCAGGCACTAGTCAAAAGCTTAGGAGCTATTATAGCTGGTACAGACGTTGCTATGAAATTTTTTTCTTTAATGGCTCCTCCAGCCCATTCAGGGCCCTGGCTTCTTATTCAGTTCCATAATAGTTTTTCACAAAGGGTAGTACTCCTTGGATGAGTGATCAGCTCATTGCAGAGCCTCTACCCAAACACAGGACAACACAAACACAGAAGAAATGCATACACACATCAAACATCCATGCCTTAAGTTAGATTCAAACCCACAATCCCAGCGTCCAAGCTAGCAAAGACAGTTAATACCTTTGACCACACGTCTACAGTTATACTATGCAACAGGTGAATAAACAATGGTTTTATACTACCCATTTCTGGGCAATGTTCCTGCGGCAACACAAACGAACATAACAATAGAGTTACTTTTGGAAACGGCGTTTTTTCCACCCCTGAAAATTAGTTCTTATTGTTGTAGCCAGTAAAACTGGATCTTGTGCATATCAAATTATTAGTCATCATATCAGCATGTGCCGAAAGTCTCTATGAAGTTATAATGTAGGTATTTATTAGAATGGGCTTCTAACATTTGCTTGATATTTGAGGTCCTTAGTCATTCTGAGAGTTAACCCATTCCGCCCAATATTCTGGGTATGCTTTGCCATGTGGACTCACCAAGAGTAAGCCTATGAGAGGGAAATATGCTCGAACTTTTTCATTATTCTTATAAAATGTAGCACCACTTGCAGCTGCCAGATAACTGTGATGTTTGATGCAGAAGCTCAAACTTTATTAAATCAAAGACTTAGCCATATTATTCATCAACACCCAGCCAAATACTTACACAGTTTTGCAAATTAATACATGTATACGGATCCTTTTCTATCCAAATTGGAGTCTGAGATTTCTTTCTCTTTATATTTACAGAGTTAATAATCGTACTTGAGTCTCAGGTTTAATTAGATATACTTGTTTAGTTATATCAAACAGAATGCTGGTGACATTAATGCAATTAAATGCGGCACAAGATTGAAAACCAAAACTGCTTGAAAGCTAACAATCAAACATTGTATTCATTTCTTAATTCTGCAAACTTGGTAAACATTTATATGAATTTGGAGTCAAACTAACCAACTGTCAGCAGTCAGGATTCACTTATTTTGTTGAGAGTATGTCTTTCAATGTGAAAAACTTACAAGAGCCAATCAACAGCGATGATGAGTGTGACATCTTCAGGTGGGAGACCAACAGTGTCTAGAACCATAACCATGGTGACCAGACCTGCCTGGGGAATGCCTGCTGCTCCAATACTGGCTGCAGTAGCAGTTATGCTAGACAAGAAAAGTTGATAATCTAGCAAAGAGACGAAGTGCAGGAAGAATGTCTATTTTCAGGAGAATTTCTGCTTCAATCTCTGATTTTGAGAAGAGCATCTAATCTGTTAACCAGGTTTAGTCTGCTGCTGGTATTTGTAACCTTTACTTCTATGAAAGAGCTAGTATTCGGTAAGATTGGGGTATATTATAGTACCAGAAGCAAAGTGACAGACTTAAGGCAATTATATAATTTTCCTTAAAAGTGATATTGGTGGATGTAAAACAATATGAACTTTCCCCAAGTTACACGTAGTTGGGTTTCACTGTCTTTTGCGTAATGATATAAGAAATATTTGATATTAATGTTGATAAGTTGAATTATTTTGAAAATAACTTGAGTCGGAAATTTGGATAAATTAAAACTTTTATGGATTCATGTTATCAAAGCCACGTCCACAACATATCCAAGATGTGTGTGAGTTGAGTGTTCTATCTATTAAATACAGATTTTTACTTTCCTGATTCATTCTGAAAAACGCTTGAATCACAGACTGACTCCCTTTCAAAAAAAAAAACATGGTTTCTTTGGCTGACATTTTGTCATCACATTTTGAAACACCTGATCAATAATTTTAATATATAACTATTACTTTTGCGTTGTTTTCTTTGTTTTCATAAAACAAATGTTTATTTTTAAAAAGGGTATGTGATACATAAAAGTGGAAGACACAGGATTACATTTGATGAAGACACAAGTCACAGGAGATCTGCTAAACAGACAGCCTGTGAATTAAAATATAGTAAATAAAGCAGCATTACTTAATTATTACACATTTTGTTAGATTCTATAAACCCAGTGTTTATTTTTTAATAATGATACTGGGTTATTTTTGAAAAGGGCATGAGACCCAAGAGAAGAGTAATTCCTTCAACAGATTCTCAAATAAAATTAAGTGAAATGCCATAAAATGTGCAGAGACATGTAGCAGTTCATCAAAAAAAGAACTGTTAACTTAATGAAATAATACAGCCATAAAATCAGGTATTTGCTTCTCCTGACAAATTCTGGTTCCATGGCTCATGCCCTTTTCAGAATAAATGGTTGTTTAATTATATTTATATGTGAAGAAATAGAATTTTACAATGATGTTGAAATTCTAAAAAATTGTTGAATAATGGCCAGCACACTGTCAGTGAAAGTGTTAACTAGAATCTGAGCTGGATTTAATGGATAAATTAGTTTGGGAGAATAAATATGATACACATCTAGCAGGATAATATGTAGGTTCAATTTGCTAATCTAGTATAACTAGATATTCAGTACTGCTAAGTACCTAAGCTCACCATTGGAAATAATCTAAAGTCAATTATATTCAATGTTCCTTCTCAACAACATATCTCACTGTGAGTCACTTTAATTATATCCTACCCTCTCTTCAGTCTTCCAAGAGATTGCTGCACCAAAATGTTGTGTGCTTTTTTTGTTTCCTCATATAAGCTACATGGCAAACCCACTATAGCCTCCTAGATGTTATAATTCTAAACAATAACAGAAAGTCTTTGTAACTCACAAAGCTCCCTATGCAGTATCCCATACTAAGCACTTAGTCATTCTTTGGCACAAATACAATACTTGCAATTTATAAAATATAGTACCTCATTGCAAGTAGCTGTCCTATACTGAGTGTCATATTGCGTACTTGTGAGATAAAAATAGCAGCCACAGCCTCATACAGTGCGGTACCATCCATGTTTATTGTGGCACCAATAGGCATAACAAACCGCACAACTCTTGGATCAACTTCATTTTTTTCTTCCAGACAGCTCATTGAAATTGGAAGAGTTGCATTGCTGAAATACAAGTGCACCATCATTATAATAGGTTATGAACTCTAATGAAATGATGCAAGCTGTTAAAATAGTAATACTTCTCACTTTATTTCCGGACATGCCAAATTCAATTCATGACCAGGACACTTAGTACCCTAATAGAGGTTTATTGTGGTCTCCACTAGTCTCTTCAGGTGGATCACAGGTTAATTATCTTCAATAAACCACATTCATTTCCTGACCAAGTCTTTCAGGTTTACCTAACATGATTATCCTTTCGTGTAATTTGCTGGTACATAATTGCTGCAGTTGTTACAGTAATGTCAGACTAGCCATCTACTCATGAAATGAATAGGCTGCAGTATGGCCCTATAATTATTTTGAAGAAATAGACTTATCAGTGATTTTCATAGGAATTCCTGCAATATGAAACCTACAATAAAGTTGCCAACTGGACATTTTGCGACTAATAATGCATAGGAAGGGAGGCCACATATATCAATGATGAATATATACGAGGGGGGACCCAAAAATAACCGGAAACGACCTGTTGCGCGCCCATGATTTGTAGTTACGAGTTGTGCTGCTAGGTGGTGTTAGCTGGGGGTCTCCCGCGACTGTTAGTGAGCTGGCGTCAGTCTGAGTTAAGTGGTTTGTCTGTGGTGCTCTGTTGTGTGCGTTCCTGTTTCAACCCTTTGGCGATTAGTGAGATGGCCGACCAGAAGGAACAAAGAGTGTGCGTGAAATTTTGCTTGATGAAGATCGTCAAAAGACCATTGACCAACTTTCTGAGGAAACGAACATCTCATGGAGCACGGTCCAGCGAATTTTAACCGAAGGTTTGCACATGAGACGGGTGTCTGCAAAATTTGTTCCTCGCTTGCTCGGAGATGACCAAAGAGAAAACCGCGTGAATGTTTGCCGCGACTTGAAGAGTGAAGTGCAGNAGCTTTATTAGTATATGTAACTTAACTCCATGGCTTTAATCCGCAAGCGAACTATACTGACCGAGTGACCGCCGCTTGTCGGCTAAGTAGTGCCAACTTTACCGGATAGAGGGTGTAGTGTGGTCAACGCAACAGATCCCCATGGCCGTTAATCTCGGTTTTCTAGACCAGATTAGTATATGTACAAAACAAAAATTTTCAAAGAGCAGAATAACTGATAAGGCTGTTTTCTGTAAAGCAAAACATTATTTTATCTTGCACTTACATGTTCTTGCATGGACACATCATAAGCTGTCGAAGTAAATTCTGAACGAAGTTGGCAATTTTCATGAAAATTTGTAGTTACCTTTTTTCACTCTAAATATCCCCAAATCACAATTTTTTACTCCTATATTCTACATTACCAGTATGACACCCGTTTATAAATGGTGCCACAGAGCTTGAAGCTTTTTGTTGATGTACATCTCAGAAAGATACAAGGCCTTTGTTAAAGTCTTCATAAAAATAAGAACTGCCAACTCTGCAAAGGGCAGATTGTTTATTTTTTTCAATTTTATGATAACTTAAAAATCATTGTACCCAGGGACATGAAATTTGGTATAATCGAAGCTTAGAAATAAGTATTTGTGTTTATTAGATTATAAATATGTAGATATCCAAGTTTAGTTACCTTATAAATAAGCATCAAAGATTACTACGATTTGTGTTACTGTGGGCGCATTTATTTTTCTGGCTGTGATTTCAGGTGTATAAAAATGCATGCATTTAACTGCAGGATGCTGGGATTCTTGTTTTAGTAATGTGTTCTAATAAGTTATCTTACAGAGATTACACAACATTGTTGCATTCAGCTGAAGTCTTGTATGACCATTAAGTACAAAAGTAGTTGATGTCTATATGCTCTGGTAGTTGTACGAGTGTAATTTAAAATCCATGGGCCCCTGTTTGTGTGTTTATGTTTTTTTTCTTTTTCAGGTTCCTGCTTACAGAAATAATAAATTTTACTTGAGATGGTAATTCTGATCCATACACCAAAATCATATGAAATTTAGTGGTTATTCTACCCTTAGAATGGATCCCACAATGAACTATAATACTAAGTAAACAGTTACCTAATCAAACAACTTCATGATGAGGACTACCTTCTTTAGAGTGTAATAATCATTAAGTTCCTTGCCTTCTATGGAAACCGAAAGGTTCATTACTATGTTAACTGGAGCCCGGCACTGGTCCTTATTCTAAGCCAAACAAATCTAATGTGCATCCTCCCACCCATCTCTTTAAGATCCATTTAAATGTCTTCCTCTCCATCATGCCTAGGTCTTCCTAGTGAACTTTTCCTTTCAGGTTTTGTGAAAATATTTTCTACAGAAATATCAGCAGTTCTAATTTTTATATCTTGTATAATCCTATCTCTTTATCACCCCCCCCACATACACACACACACACACAAATGTAATTTTTTACCATGAAAGCCATCAACAAAGCTAGACTGAAAGTTGTTTCCTGGGGCTGATGGAAATAAAATCCAGAGTGATGCCGTTATGTTTCTTTCTACACTTCAATTAATGTTTTTCTTTTCTGTGGAGATGGATTTTGGTATCACAAAGCCTGAGAAGATGTTATTGAATTACACTGCCACACAAATTTGCCACTATCATTAGACATGTATAGGGATCATACCTGGATCCTGTGCCAAATGCAGTGAAGAGAGCCTGTGACATATTTACTATGAAGCGGAAGGGCAGCTTCCTTGTGCAGATGCTGTAGTAGAGTGGGATAACTACAAACCCATGTATAAACAGTCCTAGCAACACAGTTGTGAAATACATCCCCAGCTGTCCAACAATAACTTCAAAACTTTCCATTTCAAGCACCTTTGCAGCAACAAGGAAGAATATACCAATTGGTGAAATCCTGCAATAAATATAACAGTATCAGCCATGGACATATAATGTTTAGTCAGTAAAAAACTGAAGGGCTTAATTTCTTGTGGCAGCTAATATAAAATCTGAAGGTGAGTGGTTATCTTCATGCCCCGGCCGCTTTACCTCCAGGGAAAGAGCCCCCAGTACCCATTGGATAGAAAGTTGGGTGGACCCCTGAGCCAGTCTGGACAACACGGAGAAGAGAAAACTCTTGACACAACCAGGACTCGAACTCTGACCCCTCGGTTGTCCAGCCCGTAGCTAGTCACTATACTGACTAAGCTATCCCAGCTCCTATATTTTAATAAGGTAGCTAAAAAATCAGTAATAAATTTTATAGTTGTTGTACCACCTTATGATAACCTATTAGGTTGAAACATGTAGTGTTCTTTAATAAAAACTCTAGTCATCGCCGAAGTTATGTTGACACTCATTGAATTTACTGTTTATTAATTTTGTAGTATCAGTTGTAGCAATTTTATACTTGATTAATACCATTAAAGATTTAGGGGAATCATTTGAAATACCTCTATTCACACAGGGATTTAGAACTAAGCAGTGCTTTCCAAGAAGTGGATTCAATTCAGTAGTATCTAATTAGTCCATATTTGCATTTTAGATAAGCACAGTACTGAGACCTTACAATATTATTCTTTTCACTGTGTTTCATAACCACAAAAATAGTATATCACATTTTAAATTACACAGCTAGTGGTAACTTACTCCATAGACTCCTGGGTTTTAAATCCACTAACAATACAGGATGTCCCGGTGAAAGGTATCCAAAATAAAATCATTATATCTCAGAAATAATTCATTATACACATTTATGGGTTACACCATTATAAAAGGGAAACTATCAATGTTTTCTTTTCTGCATATATAACTTAGTAAATTTAAATGTGGCTCCCTTGGTGGCACGACAAATATCCAGGCTTGAAGCATGTTTGGTGTTACTGTAGCCACAGTGTCCATTATGTGGTCTATCAGGTGTTCAAAGTAATTGATCTTAACCTGGTAGACAATGTTCTTCACATAACCCCACAAAAAAATCCACTTGTGTTAAATCTAGCGACCTAGGAGGCCAAGTGATTGGTCCACGTCTGCCAATTCATATCCCAGCCATCACTCTGTCCAGGTGATTCCTAACATGGTGGAAAAATTGTGGCAGGATATGGGTGTAAGCCAGGATGAAAAAAAAAACTTTCAGAGTTTTCCTTTCCAATGACATCAACTGGATACGTGTATGATAATTAGTTTCCAAGATATAACTTTTTTTATTTTGGATACCTTTCATCCAGACACCCCATATGAGCTGTTAGTTTTATCATGATTCAGTTGTGTGTGGATATCACAGGTAGATCAGACCCAGAGGTCCAGAAGTACACATGCCTACTCACCACTGCTGAGTTAACAGAAATCAGTGGTGAGCATATTTCACCCTCTGGTCTCAGTATATTAAAATGCAATAAAATAATTCTTTACTTTTATGTATACTGATATATTACCTCATTAACTGCAGAATTATTTTTGGAAAGAACTTCTTTACAATAGCTTCATAAAGTAGAAACACAATACATCCAACAAATATACAGGCAGTGGAAATTACCCAGTTGACGAATTGAATTGAATT